TGAGAGTAAGTTTAACTCAACATATGAAAGAACTTCCTAATAAATTGTGTTGTTGATAATAACACAGGCTAATATGGGGGACAGCTTCCTATCCTTGCAAGGTTGTCCAAGCAGAATTGGATGCCAAAGGGAAGGAACCTTAAGCATGTAACAGGTTAGATAACCTCCAGCTTCTTTTCCAGCCCTAATCTCCAAAAAGGTCATGGATTTATGGTCACGTTGTAGAGACTGAGATTCCAACAAGGTCCTAGAGGTGCCAAGCTGAAGCTATGTGGGTCAACAGCCGAGTAGCAAGAGGAACAAGGGCCTCTCTGTTTGCTACACCAGACCCGTGACCGGGTCTTTCTGTAGATCTCCATTTCAATCAAGTAACTCAATTTCGTACCTAATGAAACAGGCTTTGTAAACCTACCTGTTTAAATGTGGAAACTCCTCTTTTGTTTGCTTTCTTTCCCACCTTTGTTTCCTGGCTTCTTTCATAGAACCACAGCTCTCTTTTCATCTAAACTAAGGGAAGAGGAGTTTGTGGAGACAAAGGCCAAGAGAACTGAGGAGTCAGTTTCCTTGGAGGCCAAGAGTGGGGGTGACATCCCCTCTGGACTAGATCTGACTTTTCCTTCTCGTTCAAGAAATCAAGACAAGTGTGAGTCCCTTCTGAGCTATTTAATTTTTTAAAGTAATATCCATAAACACTGGAGATTGCAAACACCTCACAATTGATCACTGCATACTGCTGGTCACCAACTTGCCAAGAATGAGAACACCTCATGTGTATGAAGATTAAAGAACAAGGGGTTTGAAATCAGGTCTAGTTTCAAGTTTTGGCTTCTCACCTTTAACAGGTTCGATCTAAATGAGGTCATTGCTCTTTCAAGAAATTCTTATTAATAATTCAAATAACCATATTTCTATAAGTCAGTAATTGGCAAGCTTTTACCCACTGTCTTTTTTTCTAAGTAGAGTTTTATTGGAACACAACCACACCCGTTCATGTAAATATTGTCTGGCAGCTTTCAGGCTACAAAGCAAAGCTGAATACTTGTGACAAAGACTTACTGTGTGGCCCACAAGGCCTCAAATATTTACCATCTCTCCTTTTACAGAAAAAGTTTGCTGACCACTAGTAGTATAAGTATTCCTAACTGTTAAATTTAAATTGATAATCGAAATGGGCTCAACTTCCCAAAATACTGTTTAAATCATCAGAGAAAAATTGAGTTGTGATAGGGCCTCTATATGGTGCCTTTGTGCAAATAGGATAAAAGTGCTCCTTTAAATAATTATTGTAATACTAGAGGCTCGATGCATAAAATTCATGCAAGGGGCTCGGACATTGCAGCTGCAGCGGCTTGCCTCTGCTTCGTTCAGAAGGTTGTCTGGAAGAACATACGGAAGGACATCTGGTCTAATTAGCATTTTATGCTTTTATTATTATAGACTAGAGGCCTGGTGCACAAAAATTTGTGCACTGGAGGGGGGGTCCCTCAGCCCGGCCTGTGCCCTCTCGCAGTCTGGGACCCCTCGGGAGATAACGACCTGCTGGCTTAGGCCTGCTCCCGGGGGGCAGAGGGCAGGCCCAATCCCTAGGTGCAGCCCCTGGTCGGGCTCAGAGCAGGGCCGATTGGGGAGTTGGGGCACCGCCCCCTGTCATGCACAGAGCAGGGCGGATCAGGAGGTTGCGATGCCACCCCTATTCACGCTCAGGGTAGGGCCGATTGGGGGGTTGGGGCACC